CCCTTTTTCGTGATCCTGTATTAAATTTTATTTTAGGTGAAATTGTTAGGGCTCTGTGTGTGTGTGTGTGTGTGTGTGTGTGTATGCGTGTGTGTGCCTGAGAGGGAGAAAGAGACTGATTCGTGACGGGGATCAGCTGACCCTACTTTTCTGTTTAAATATGATGCCCATATCGACCATGCTGTTGCAAATTCACCTCTGATTCGAATGTTAGGAATTGGTTGAAAATGAAATATCATGCAAATTCAGTAGTGTTAGCAGTTCTGCTCAAATTATTGAGCAGCTCCTAGGGACAAGACGGAGTGCTTGGTTCTAAACACTGGAAGGGCCCCTGGGTGGCTCCATTGGTTAAGCATCTGACTCTTGATTTTGGCTCAGGTCATGATCTCATGGTTCACTAGATCGCGCCCTGCATCAGGCTCTGCACTGACAGTCCGGAGTCTGCTTGGGATTCTCTCTCTCCCTTTCTCTCTGCCCCTCATCTGCTTACATTCTCTCTCACTCTCTCAAAATAAATAAACTTAAAAAAAAACTCTTATGGGGCTCCTGGGTGGCTCAGTTAGTTAAGCGGCCGACTTCGGCTCAGGTCATGATCTCATGGTTCGAGCCCCGTGTTGGGCTCTGTGCTGACAGCCCAGAGCCTGGAGCCTGCTTCAGATTCTGTGTTTCTGTCTGTCTCTGCCCATCCCCTGCTCATACTCTCTTTCTCTCTCAAAAATAAATTTAAAAAAACATTAAAAAAACTCTTTAAAATAAATAATGAGTATGTGAGTGAATGAATGAAGAGTGAATGAATGAATGAATGAATGAATGAATAGAAAGGAGCAGACCAAGTTTGGCCCCTGCCCTGATGGAGCTCATAGTCTGGTGAGAAAACAGCCACCAAACAAACAAACAAACAAACCCAATTGATAGGGGTGCCTGGGTCTCTCAGTCACTTGAGCGTCTGACTTCGGCTCAGGTCATGATCTCGCGGTTGACAAGTTCGAGCCCCGCATCGGACTCTGTACTGACAGCTCAGAGCCTGGAGCCTGCTTCAGATTCTGTGTCTCCCTCTCTCTCTGCCCCTCCCCTGCTCATGCTCTGTCTCTCTCTGTCTCAAAAATAAATAAACATCAAAAAAATTAAAAAAAAACCCCGATTGATATAGTCGTACGTAAGCGTATTTGATTGTAGATTTCATTTCTTTATAGTGGAAGTGGACTATATCATCACTGGAAGTGTTCAAAGATGTGTTAATTTCTCTTTTCAGTTTATAGATTTCCTGTGGTATACAATGCAAGATTATTATTTGAGCATAAGGAGGAGTTCATTTATCTAAGTGTTTCTCAAAATGGAGCAGTTTATAATTGCCCTTAGTGTTGATTTCAATTAGTCTTATTGTAGGGTCACTTGAATATTTATAAATATCAAACCAGGTATAAGCCCCTTGTACTTATACAACCATAAAACCAAAAATCTTTACAAGTTAGGGTCAAGAAAACCATAACACCAACAAAATTTAGACATTAATGTATTGTATGATATTGTTTTGCTGAAACTAAATTACCAGAATTGGATAGAAATATGTTTGCAATCATTTGTATCAGTTTGTTTAATTTTTAGGATGTTGGTTCCTCATTTGGATAATTATTTTTATCACTGTGGTTACATTTCCTTCATTTTTAAATGAGCAAAGAGCTCATTTAAAACCACTGATCCATTATTTTTATGGGTTAATTTAATAGCACAAATAATTATTCATGGGTTTTTTTTTTCCACCAAATTTACTGAAAATAATCTCTTATGAATTGGTACAGATAAGAACAGGGTCCATGCAGTAAGTCCATTTCGTTGGAAACTGAATATAATTCTTATTGCTGTGGTTCAAATATTATAGGTTTGATATATCAACATATACTCTCTGTATAATATGTGTCATAGTAAATATATCACATAATATAATTAACAATATATAAGGCACCATTACTTCATGATGACTCAATTATTTTACTACATAATGTGAAAAAATTCTTTTAACATCATGTTGTGATAGCAACATAGGGAAAGCATATTGTTTGTATGTTAAGTTCTCTTCTGTTTTTTTCTCAGTAGACCGAAACTATTACACTATGTCACTGTCATGAAGATATCTGCAGTGTTATTGCTACAAAGAAATTTAACAAGCACAAAGCAGTGGATATGGGACAATTATTTTAGTTTTGACATTAGCATATGCCCTGTTAATAGAAAGAATGACACTTACTACCCAGTGAAAATTAGATTCAGCATTGAAAGTGACCCTGACACATGAACATAAAATTCAACAAAATCCCAAAAGAACCCTGAGGTAGCATGGCACTACTCAGATGTGAACAGGCCGTCCAGAGATATAATCCTGAATATTTATGTTATACAAGTTAGTATATTACATCTGTTTCCACTAGAGAGGGGTTAATGCTCTAGGGAGACGTGTTTGAAGACTGCATAAAAGGCTAATATATTTTATAATAGTCTTATATACACTGTGTTCGTGTGTGTGAGAGTGAGAGCATGTGTATATTTCAAACCAAGCATCTATCAAACAAAAATAAGCTATATATTCCTTTTTTTTTTTAACAGTAAGATAGGAGTTTATTCATCAGATTCTATGTATGAGTCTTCCTTACTTGTTAAATATGACCCTATACGTTATAATTCTCTTGCGCTTCAGTTTGAACAAACCCACTGCCTGAGAGGCATCAGCAGTTAAACTGAACAGACAGACAAGGTGGCTTGAGAGGAGTGACAGGAACATCTCTAGCCGGTTTGGATCCACAGGAGGAGGTTCTTCTGAAGGCCACGTGGGATTGCATGGATTTCAATTCATCCCCCAGCTCTCCTGCCCTGCCCCCAGCCTTTGGCATGACCCATGAGTTCCAGGAAGGTCGTAGGGGATAGAGTTGGAGGATGGGCACCGACTGGCTTGGCAGCTGGAGTTTCTTGGGATTCTTTTTTATTTTTAGTTATTTAAAAAAATTTTTTTTTAACATTTATTATTTGTTGAGACAGAGAGAGACAGAGCACAAACAAGGAAGGGGCAGAGAGAGAGGAAGACACAGAATCCGAAGCAGGCTCCAGGCTCTGAGCTGTCCTCACAGAGCCCGTCGTGGGGCTCAAACCCATGAACTACGAGATCATGACCTGAGCCAAAATCGGGTGCTTAGCTGACTGAGCCACCCAGGCACCCCTACAGTCATTTTTATTATTTATTTTTCGGTTAGATTTCTTTTTTTTAATTTTAATTTATTTTTAAAATTTATATCCAAGTTAGTTAGCATATAGTGCAACAATGATTTCAGTAGATTCCTTAATGCTCCTTACCCATTTAGCCCATCCCCCCCTTCCACAAACCCTCCAGTAACCCTCTGTTTGTTCTCCATATTTAACAGTCTCTTTTGTTTTGTCCCCCTCCCTGTTTTTATATTATTTTTGCTTCCCTTCCCTTGTGTACATTTGTTCTCTGTCTTAAAGTCCTCATATGAGTGAAGTCATATGATATTTGTCTTTCTCTAATTTCGCTTAGCATAATACCCTCTGGTTCCATCCATGTACTTGCAAATGGCAAGATTTCATTCTTTTTGATTGCTGGGTAATACTCCATCGAATATATATACCACATCTTCTTTATCCATTCATCCATCGATAGACATTTGGGCTCTTTCCATACTTTGCCTATTGTTGATAGTGCTTCTATAAACAAGGGGGATGCATGTGTCCCTTTGAAACAGCATACTTGTATCCCTTGGATAAATGCCTAGTAGTACAATTGCTGGGTCGTAGGGTAGTTCTATTTTTAGTTTTTTGAGGAACCTCCGTACTGTTTCCCAGAGCGGCTGCACCAGTTTGCATTCCCACCAACAGTGCAAAAGAGATCCTCTTTCTCCGCATCCTCACCAACATCTGTTGTTACCTGAGTTGTTAGTGTTAGCCATTCTGACAGGTATAAGGTGGTATCTCCTTGTGGTTTTGATTTGTATTTGCCTGATGATGAGTGATGTTGAGCATTTTTTCATGTGTCTGTTAGCCATCTGGATGTCTTCTTTGGAGAAGTGTCTATTCATGTCTTTTGCCCATTTCTTCACTGGATTATTTGTTTTTTGGGTGTTGAGTTTGATAAGTTCTTGATAGATTTTGGATACTAACCCTTTATCTGATATGTCGTTTGCAAATATCTTCTCCTATTCCATCAGTTGCCTTTTAGTTCTGCTGATTGTTTCTTTCACTGTGCAGAAGTTTTTATTTTGATGAGGTCCCAATAGTTCATTTTTGCCTTAATTTCCCTTGCCTCTGGAGACGTGTCAAGTAAGAAGTTGCTGCAGCCAAGGTCAAAGAGGTTTATGCCTGCTTTCTCCTTGAGGATTTTGATGGCTTCCTGTCTTACGTTTAGGTCTTTCATTAAACCATATATTCTTAAATTTTTCCTCTTAAGCATTGAAAACTATTAAACATATAATATCAGAAATTACTATGGACTTTTCATATATCCATCTGCTTCTCTAAAATCGCAATTTGCATTTTCCTTCTAAAAGCATGTAGAAAGCACACCAGTGAATTGTAACGACCTGGGAATATGAGAGTAGGAACTAAAATTAGCAAGAGATGCTAAGAAGGAGAGAGGAAAAGTATTCTCAAAAATAGGGACCAAAGAAAAAAGGAAGTTGGAACCACTATCACGTTAGAAGAGCCTCCAATTTTTTTTTTAATTTTGTTTAACGTTTATTTATTTTTGAGAGAGACAGAGATAGAGCATGAGCAGGGGAGGGGCAGAGAGAGAGGAAGACACAGAATCCAAAGCAGGCTCCAGGCTCCCAGCTGTCAGCGCAGAGCCTGATGCCGGGCTCGAACCCACAAACTGTGAGATCATGGCCCGAGTAGAGGTCAGACCCTTAACCGACTGAGCCATACAGGCGCCCCAAGGCTCCTAGTTCTGAGTGTGGGAAAAGCAGTCACCGACTCCAAAACTTGTCTTTGTTCCCCAGGCCGCTGTCTCTGATCAGGAAAGGAAGAAGATGAAGCGCAAAGGAGATCGGTACTCCACGCAGACCTCTCTCATTGTGGCAGCTCTGAAGCGGTTACTGCCCATTGGGTTGAACATCTGTGCCCCTGGGGACCAGGAGCTCATCGCTCTGGCCAAAAACCGATTTAGTATGGTAAATTTCCTGTTCATACCGGTGGTAATGATCACTTGACCTCCAGACTCAAATGTTTAGACTCCCTTTTTCTCACTGGTTTGTGTCAGGATTTCATTTCCATTAGATGTTTTAGTAAGCAGTTTTTCTGTGTATGCAAAGACTGCCCATTTTTTTGGGGGGGCTATTTTTATTTCTAAATTATGTTGATCACCTCCAGGGAATATTCTGAAACCCAGTAGAAAAGATGCAAACAAGTTGCTGGTAGCGGGAAAAAAAATGGATTTCATATGAACTCCTATATAAAATTTGTTATGAAAAATGTATTCAAATTTAGGAGGGATAATTTTTCAGTGTGAGAAGCATCATGGACTGTGCTGATCGTGGTTAGATAAGGTGTTGACTTTCTAAGTCAACCAAGTTGACTCTTCGACTTGGCAAGCATCAACATTTCAGTTCTCAAGATTTCTTTATGACCTCTGTTTTTTCTCTTGGTGGCTACCTAGACGCACTTTTTCAAGAATATACAGCGGGATCATTATTTTATATTTATGTAAATGGGAGGACATTTTCTTTTACCCCCATTCCCACACGGAAGCACCTCTCTGAATATCCAGAATTGGATACCCTGAGATAAGCAAATTGAGGGGACATTGTGTCACCATGGGCTGCACAGATGCAATTCTGGTGGTGGTCATTCTAGTATTTGATTCTCAGGGTATTTCCTTGTTGTTACTGGATCAGAGGGGGGTAGTATTAAATGCCAAAATTACTTTCTGGAGAGTTCAGAGAATGATGGAGATATACCCCTGTTTGATCACAAGGGAACACACCTCTGCCCCCACTTTTTGTGAACCAGAAATTCCATTCCAGTGAGTCTTAAGACACTTCCCGTAGAGTCGATGTAAGTTGGTACCTTGTTTCCGGTTCACAGCAGTATCAAGAAATAGTCTGAAAAAGAACCTCCCGCGTTTGTGGTGTGTTTTGAAACCCTATACGTAGGTTGGGGCAGACATACACTATTTCAAAAGAGGTTGGAGTTACTTCTGTTGACTTGTGACAGTTGATGCATTAATGGTAAGACTTCTTTTAGGTAACATTTATTTCTTGACAGAAAGACACTGAGGATGAAGTACGAGATATAATCCGCAGTAATATTCATTTACAAGGCAAGGTAAGCCAAATTTAAGTACATAGTATTTATGAATTCAGTGAATCTCTCTTTAGAATAGTATCACAAGTAATGTCACTAGCAATTCAAATAGTGAAAATATATTATTTTCATCAGTCTTTATTCTACTTGCAAAACTCTTGGTATTAAAGACTCTCAAGATAAGTAATGTATTTTATTTACTTTAAAAAGTCAACGTAGATCACCAAAGATTTTTAGACTTTGAAAAAAAATATGTCACCATTTGAAATAAAGGTGGGAAATTTCCTTCATTAGCTGAGTTTGAGGACTTTTGGGACATGGAGATAGGTGTCCATGAGAATTTGAACTTTTTCATCTAGTGTCCAGAAATTAAATATATGTCATTAGAAGTCATTAGTACATAGGAGATATTAAGACTTGCTGTAATAGAAATAGATGAATAAATGAATTTACCTACGGAGGTAAAGGAAAACATAAATGTGGGTAAAAAAAAATTGGTAGAAGTACTTTTTGTACTACTTTGTAGTACAATTTGGAAATTTTTCATACTAGGGGGTAAATTGTTCATTTGTTTACAGAACCCGTTATGCAGTGTAAGAAGTCTAGCAATTTGTTATCGTGATTCAGCCTATTTGCTTCTATTCTGGTGTCCCTTCTGGGAAATTTTTTCAATTATGACAGTGTCCAAATGTCAACAAATAGTGACCACAGCATAACGTTTGCTTTTCTGGGTATTAAAATGTTTCTTTCCAAGATCAAAACCGTATTCTTCTTTTAACACTTACGAGCACAATATGATAAAGGTGAGACATACCTTTCCAGTATTCACAAGGCACAGACACTGATTTAGAGCACACTTCGTGTGCACTTTGATGTGTAGGTACTCATATTATTTAGTAATAACTTGGCGAGAATGGGAGATGAATGCCTTTTAGAGTTCGATCTCTTCTCAGATTGCAAAACGATTATGAGCGTTTTAAAATGTACTAATAAAGCCTCTGCCTGAACCTCAAGTGAAGGGTTTATGCTTCATATATGGGTGTTCGAGGAGATCCTGTAGTCCATGCAAAGGTCTCGGGATCCCCAGGACTCAAGACCACACTTTGAGAAACATGGTCTAGGACAACCATTACTGAGCAGAGACAGGAGATGTTCAGTACCTCTAAACGAAGGTTCTGTGCTCTTCTCAGGAAATAAATAAAGCAGGATGTCTTGAAGAAACAGAAGGAAATCCGATTATATTCTAGAAGTTTTTTATAGTAGTACTGAGGGCAATTTATGTTGTGTCTTGGGGAGTCAGAAAGAGAGAGGAGAGCAGAGAAGGAAACACATTTATGATCAGCATTTCACTTCCAACTGAATGAGACCTTAAAATAAAGCAGTAATGAATACATATTCTTTTTGATATTTCAGTCTATACTTGTTTTGTGAAGAGTCAGGCACATATATTATGGAGACACACAGACTTACAGAAGATGAATTCTTTTATTCCTAGCACCTTCTTGAATGTATTGTCTTGAAATTGTAGGATGGGTCATCCTGGGGCCAAAAGAAGTAACTTTATATGAGAAAGAATAAAGATGCTGCTTATTTTACCAAATATAAGTAAAAATGTGTATTTCTGTCTGGAAGCACCAGGCACAGTCCTCAAATGAAAAAAAGTATGTGGAGGAAAAACATTTTGTTTTATCAAAGGACAGATGGTGTCTACAAGCCATTCAGTGTATAAAATCCTGTGTTTGCCCCTAGATGAGTTATTTTTCACATGTCAAACTCTGCTTTCTTGGGCTGGGAGTTGTGAAGTTTTAGATTTGTCCATTTACTTCTGCTTCATTACCCTCAGTCCCCCAGTTTTCATGGAGACTTGAAAGGGGAAGAGAAACATACAGGGATGACTGCCTATTTTCAATAATGTAGTTATTCTATGTTCTTTTTTTGAAGTAATGTGATCTTTTCCCTATAAAGATGTTTATATTCGTCAATTTCTACGATTTTATGATAATCTTTCTCAAAAACATACAGAATTCAGTTGTATCTCCCACTCAGGAAATTTGACAATTTTAAAAAGACTCCTTTATTATAAGAATATGATTTTATATTCCTCCATTGTTTTATATTTGATATCTTTGTTTCAGTGAGACTAAACTCAGTTGCAGAGTTCCTATATTTATAGATAAATGAGATCCTGTATCATTGCCTGTAAAAGTAAGTATGTAAATCTTTCCGTGTTTGACCGTGCAAGGGGAAGAGAAAGATAGATCACTTTGCCTACTTCCTTGCCTTGATCATATCCAGCTCATCCTTACATTCTAGGTAAAACTTCACTTGTTCAGGGGAATCTTAACAGCCACCAGCAGGTTAGGTCCAAGCTCATGATACCTTATCTTTCTCTTGAGTAGCTCTCCTCACAACTCTACATATTTAATTTCTGTCTTCCCCACTGGATGGTAAATTTCATGAATACAAGGTCTTTCTCTGTGTTGATCTCTTCATGGTGTTTTGACACTGGGCTACACCCAGTAAAGTAGGACTTCCCTTCCTTACATAGTAACCTTGTATTTTTGAAACCTTTTTCCTTTTTCATGCAGTTGGAGGATCCTGCTATCAGATGGCAAATGGCTCTTTACAAAGATTTACCGAACAGGACTGAAGATACATCAGATCCAGAGAAGACCGTAGAGAGAGTATTAGATATAGCAAATGTGCTTTTTCATCTTGAGCAGGTTAGATTCAGCATGGATTCCACAGTATTTGCCTTAACCATGTAAAAACATTTCAAAGGTGGTATGTGTTAATTTGTTAGCTATGGGTGGGCCAAAAACATGTGTGTTCAGCTTACTCATTATAAATAGTATATGATTCATGAGTGCTTATACCTAATAAGCAAATTTCCAAGCTTGTAATTTTTGTAGCAATATATAGGTAATATATTTTGAGAGATCACAGCCTTTGTTTTATTGTCTTTTCTCAAAATATTTCTTTTTTAAAAATTTTATTGATTTATCTTGAGAGAGAGTATGTGCGTGTGCAAGCAGGGGTGAGGCAGAGACAGAGGGAGAGAGAGAGAATTCCAAGCAGGCTCCATGCTGTCAGTGTAGAGCCCAAAGCAGTCCTCGATCTCACAACCATTAGATCATGACCTGAGCCAAAATCAAGAGCCAGATGCTTAACTGACTGAGCCCCCCAGGTGCCCCAAAATATTTCTATATTTATACAGATAAATAGGATTATACACTTAATTTTAAGTCATTCTGACAAAAATTTCAGGAGTTACCTGATTTCATGTTCTGTGTATCATTTTTTTATTACTGCTCATAACAACATGTTTGAGATGCTTTCACTAGTTAATATTTGAATTTTTTTGGTTACTTGCTTCAACTTTCCTTTTATTAGAGATATTTTTGAGTTAATTTTCTCCAAGATCAGCAATAAATATATTTAGATAAGAGCTATGGCATCGATATTAAAACTGTGTAAGAATAGTGGTTTTATATAATTTTTCAGTTGTGTCCTATTTTAAACTACAAAGTTTACTATGTGTTTGATTTCTGTATTCATTACCTTTGTTTAACAATTCTCAAATTGATAGTATTCGAAAAATTATCCATCAGTGGGTTACGTTTTTGTGTAAGGAATCTTCTGGCCTAGGTAAGATATTTGCAATAGAGGGACATTGTCCCTGTGTCTCATGAGGTCCATTCGGCAAAATGACACCAGAGTGAGGGAGTTCAGCATGAACCCAACAGTGTGATCTGTCACTGGGCTTTCATGACAGCCTTTACCTGATGTGGCAGATCTCACATTTTTACAGTACACATAAAATCATAAAATGGCCTGTGTCATCTCAGGAACTTTGTCACGTAAATGTTTTGCAGAATATCTTAGCATAACAATGACAAAGATTTTTCTTTGATTTCTATTTTATATTATCTGGTGATCTTTCATCCCTGCCTTGACCAGTTAAGTCACATACAGATATCACCTAACATAATATCCTTTTAATTTCCTTGTTTTATTACTTATGTGACCCTCACACATTAATAACTTCTCCAGTGTCATGCGATCTGTCACCATACCTGATGAGATGTAGCTAGGATACTCTCAAACCATATGGCTATGGACATGTACTCACATTGTGTAACACCACAATATTTATAATATATAACATATGTAATATACATATGTAATATGTACTATATAATGAACTTAGTATTTCCCTCAATATCTCCATGAAATATTAAATAAGTACAAATTATCACTCAACAGAAGACAAAACTTAAGGTAATGAAATTTTAAGTGATATATAAAGTCCTGGAATTGTTTTTCCAGAGTTTATACATATTTAAGAAAGCTATTGGGGAGACTGGTTGGCTCAGTCAGTTAAGCATCTGACTTCGGCTCAGGTCATGATCTCATGGTTCGTGAGTTCATGAGTTCAAGCCCCACATCGGGCTCTGCACTGACAGCTCAAGCCTGGAGCCTTCTTCAAATTTGGTGTCTCCCTCTCTCTCTGCCCTCCGCCGCTCATGCTCTGTCTGTCTGTCTGTCTCTCTCTCTCTCTCTCTCAAAAATAAATAAACATAAAAAAAAAAAGAAAGAAACACATATTTAAGAAGGCTATTAAATGTCTACCAGAGAACTATTCCTGGCAGCATTGTTCTACCATAAGGTTTTAACTCTTCCTGGTTTTTTTGCATATACCTGGATTTGCTTGAATGAGTATTAGATACATGAAATGAAGCTTATTGAAATCTGATAGTTTTATTATATTCACATATTACATATTGACACATGTATTCAATCATAATGGATGAAGTCATTTGTAAAGTAGTGAGATTCATTTTCTGAAGCAGTCATTCCTTCCTCGAACATTTTTTGAGTGCACGACCATATGGCAGCATTATACTTCGCAGGTTCAGGGAATTGAACGCGGTCTGTCTACTCAAGTGAGTCATCCTCTAGTACAGCATGTGGATAGATAAATATAAAATAATACAGATGTGCTAGGATACAAAAGGTGCTGAAGAGGCTATAAAAGGAGTCCAGTCTTGATCTAGTTATGAAGTAGGTGATCCCCATAATCTTAAAGGAGAAGTAGGAGTTTTCTAGGAAAAGGTAAGGGGGTCAGATTTTAGTGAAGGCCAACTATTCTACAGATGGTTAAGAACATGAGTAAAAAGAAATCATCAATTATCAAAGAATAGAAAAGAGCAGAGGATGTACCACAAGAGGAATTCATGCCTTCAATACCTCTATTCTAATGTTTATTTGTAACTCAGTCATAGAGTAGCTTGTGATGAGTATCTTCACCTGCCAAACTCAGTGCATAAACAGTGGGCGCACAGCAAATACTTAATTTATCGTAGGTACCAGCGACCTTTGCAATTATATATTTTGTGCTGTACATCCGGTAACTTTTGTCCATGAGAGTAACCTGTCTCTTGGAATTTCCTAACACATAAACTCGAGCCAAGCTAACACAGCAGCACCTCCCAGCATTTGGACAGTGAGAAGAGAGGTATTAAGCACTTCTCACATATAGTAAAATGCTCTGCCAAGTGATAAGCTTCATGATGGCAGACACCTTTTCTACCATGGTCACTACCGTATCCTCAGTGCCTCACTATTTCAATGTGTTTGTTGACTATTACCCACACCCATCAGAATACCTTATTCCCAGAAAAAACTACCTCATACAGCCTGAGTATCAGAATGGCACTGTAATGCATTGAGTCTAGTTGAACGATACCAGCCTTGATTCACTTAACACAGCCACCAAGAAGAAAATCAAAGTGGACAGTTGTCACAAAGCGTTTACTGATCCTGTGAAGGGAGGACCATCATGGATATAAATAAGTGCTTTCCAAAGACAAGTTGCTTCATTAAAATTTCTAAACCACTCTAGTCCAGACACTCTTAATGTTTTCTTCAGGCATTATAAAATTCATATTTTGACCCTTTACTGCAAAGGATAATAGACTTTAGATTTATTTTTTTAGCTAACGCAACATTTTTATTTCTTCCAGAAATCTACATCTATGCACCGGAGATATTACAGTCTGGGAAGTACAGTGCTCAATTACCTAGAGACTACTAATTAATTTAGAATTACATGTTGTTTTTTTTTCCTCTCTAATACTTATAATTAATCTCTTTTTCCTCTTGGAGCTCCAAACACCATTAGCTAAATAAATAGCTTGCTTGCCTCATTTACTGCAACTTTGAATTCTCATTTGTCCCTATCTAACAAAATAATAATGTATTTTAACATTTTTGCAAAATTAAATTCTTTTCCTCACTCCTAGTAATGTGTTCCTGAAGCCTTGTCATTTTCTCTCCATCCTGTTATATAGTAAGGAACAGTTGAAATTTCGGTAGAATTTTCTATGTCTGCCTCTATTCGTGTTTACTGCTGTAACTCTCATGATAAAATTGGTCGAAATGGATACATAAATAAGAATAGGTTAATTTTTTTGCGTAGGCAGAAAACATGTTTTAGAACCATAACCAGATTCTGAAATGGCTGCAAAATGATTTTATGTAGAATGGTTTTATATTTCTTTGATTTTACAGATGACATAGCTTCTTAAGTACACACTACTGGGGAGATAACTCTGTTTTGACTAAAGAAAATACGTAGCATTCAAAACCATTTCCAATTTAGCATTGGGTGACTTCTAGGACACGGGCTTTCCCATAATAATTGCAGGGGTACTTTGGGAATTGTAATTCCAAACGTTTTTAATGTAAAAGGCACAGCTGTTTAATACAGTATTGCTGAGGGTAAGTCGGAGTTAAACATATTTAATGTTTTGTTTGTATCGTTTTTACCTCAGGTGGAGCACCCACAGAGATCGAAGAAAGCTGTATGGCACAAACTTCTGTCCAAGCAGAGGAAGAGGGCAGTGGTGGCCTGCTTCCGAATGGCTCCTTTATATAACCTGCCAAGGTCAGAATTTTTTTAATGTCAGCAATAGATGAAAGTTCTTTTTTCCCTAGTAAGCTGGAGGAGCATCGCGTCTACCTTAACAGGAGTGCAGTAGTCTGAGAGAAGAATGCAAAACAAGTCTTGGCTCTTTTGTGTAATGCCTGAGCTTGTTTTTCTTTGTTGGGTGATCTTAGAGAACTGTGATGCGCAGTGTAGTTATTCAGTCACTTCTGAATACCGAGGAAGATGTGCGCAGGTATGTGAGGCAGGGTAGCGTAATTAGGAACTCTCTCTTTGGAATCAGACTGCCTTGATTTGAACCCTGGCATGTCAGCTGATGGCTGCGTGACCATTGGTCAAGTTTCTTACCTGACTTTGTTATAGTTTCCTCATTTGTGCCATGATGAGATTTGCCCCATGGAGTTGTTCAGATTATTTAATGGATTGAGGTATAGAGGGTGCTTAGAACCAAATTTAGCACTATTAATGTCCATTGCTGTTCATTATTTCTTGTGGTTTTTGGTCTTGGGGCAAAGAACTGGTATGGATCTAGTTTATGGGAATAGCAGAAAGGTGTTTAACAGTCCCTCAAAGAAACTTCACACTTTCCCCTTTCAGTGAGACAGCTGGATTCCTTGCCAAGGCACATTCACTGAGTATAAAATACATTAATTTCCCCCTCAGACCATGTGCTACTTTAAATTCTCTAACTCAGTTATGGTGTCACCAGTTAGTCAATAGAACATTAACCTTGAATCCATAGTTTTACTCCTTTTCTGGTCCGTCCTGTACAGTCATTCTCCAGATTCCATCAGATTTTTCTTAGATCTCTTTTCACATTTTTCTTAGATCTCTTTTCACATTGCTATCCTTCCTTTTATGGCCACCCCTCCGGCTCACATGTTTATTGCTTCATATCAGGTTGATGGCAGCAGATTCTGAGGTGATTTCCCTGATGTTATGGAATCTGCTTTCCACTCTCTCACGTAACTTTCTCAAAATTGTATCCTTTATTGCAGTGGTGCTCAGACCTGGCGCTTTTGGGAAATACATTCAAATTCATTTAAGAAATATCCAAGCCTCAGCCTGTTGGATGAGAATTTCTGTGAGGGCTTAGCAAGTGTATCGTTTAAAAGCCGCTCAGATGATTCTCTTGTACCAATATTGTCGAGCCTGTCCTTTGTCATGTCTGGCCCGTGCACAGGACTTTATGGTGATTTCTAGCATTCTAGATGCACTGTCAATTCCTCTCCTTGGTTTTCCAGGCCCTTCATAAACCTATCTAACCATGTGTCTCATGACTCCGTAACTCACCATTAGTTCCATTAGGCTCAGCTTTCTTCCCTTCCCGTAATGACACTTCTCCTTTTAACACTTCTGATAGTTTCTTATGACGTTCCCTTATGGTCATGACTTTCTCTTATCCTTTCCCATGGTGGTGTCTTATCCATACCTCTCATCGGCTTCATGATGAGTTTACTTATTCTTTTAGTCCTCGCTATTTTTTTTATTTTTTTATTTCTTAGGCCACCGTTTATCATCAGTATTCCAGTATTTAATCTTTGGGTGTATATTCTACTAAGTTCATGCAATACGTTTTGTTTTGTCATCCTCAGGGCCTGTATCTAATGTTAACCACTGACTACTTCCTTATTAATCCTTATTCTGTTGTTTTGCCAAAGCCACTTGATGTCATACTAGCTACCACTTAATGACCGTCCATATACCCCATGTGCTTTACATGGTTTATCTCATTTTAAGTCTCTGCAAACTGAAGTGCAGGTGGGGTTTTCCTAGTTTTATCAATGAACAAAAAGTGAATGTTGGTAAAGTGAATAGTTGACCAGCATTATGAAGCTTAGAAATGGCAGAGCCAGAATTTAAATGCAAGTCAGAATGTGCTACGAGAAGCCTTGCCTTATTTACTACCATGTCTTGCCTGTGCAATCAAGAGTGGGAAGTTTCTTTTTATCTTATGTCTTTGAGCGCACCGAGAGTCCAGTGATAAAGCACCTTTCCAATTTATTTAAAAACAAAAACAAAAACAAAAAAAACTCTTTGTTTGAAATTATGCTTCTTTTTTAGGCACCGGGCCGTTAACCTCTTTCTTCAGGGATATGAAAAGTCTTGGATTGAAACAGAAGAACACTACTTTGAAGATAAGCTGATAGAAGATTTAGCAGTATGTCTTAATGGGGCTATAAGTTGAAAGAGGGCTTGGGTCTGGTGGAGTCACGCTGGCGTGACCAGGTTATCCTATCACAGCGGAGAGAAAGCACCATTGCAGTGTTGGTCCTAGGAAACTTTCTATTCTTGACTGCTACTGCATTCAATGTTCAGGGAACATCTTATTCTTCTTACTTCAGAGATCTCATCAGCACCCAGTAATTCCGAATTTCAGGTGAATGATAGAAGTTTATTATAACCAGGCTTTGACTCGATTATTCTTTTAAATTCTTCTGCAGAGCACCTTTAAACACCTTAGAACCTAGCATAGAACTATAAAAGCTGAACTGTATAGAAGTTATCCACCAAAAATAAGTTGAGGGTTAACAAAAGCCAATGAAAGGTAGCTGGTTTTTAAAAATATATGAGGCAGAGAATGATGGGACTAGACGCAAGAAGAACAGGAAGTCATGGTAAAATGCATTAGATGGAGACTAGATTTTTGGTCCTGCCATTTTGGACAGGTAAAGGTGCTCTCGTACTGAGAGGAGAGCAGTCTTCATCTTTTTTTTTTAAATCTTTTTTTTAATGTTTATTTCTTTTGAGGGGCACACTGTGCAAGTGGGGAAGGGGCAGGGAGAGAGAGGAGAGAGACAATCCCAGACAGGCTCCACCCTATCAGCACAGAGCCCCATGTAGGGCTCAAACTCACAAAGCCATGAGATCATGACCTGAGCCAAGATCAAGAGTCAGCTGCTTAACTGACTGAGCCACTCAGGCGCCCCAGTCTTAATGTTTTATAAGTCACGGACCTGATTAAATATCTGATGAACCAGGGTGCTCCGTTGGTTAAGTGTCCGACTTCAGCTCAGGTCATGATCTCGCGGTTCATGAGTTTGAGCCCCGCATCCTGCTCTGTGCTGACAGCATGGATCCTGGAGCCTGCTTCGGATTCTGTGTGTGTGTGTCTCTCTCTCTGCCCCTCCCCACTCATGCTCACTTGCTCTCTCTCTCAAAAATAAATAAACCTAAAGTTATTTTTAAAAAATATCTGATGAAAACTATCTTCTCAGGAAATTTTCCAGGCATATGGTCCTCTGGAATTTTGCAGACTAGTTGGAGGTTTCTTGATTCTCAAGTTAAAGACCTCATCTGTAAACATTTTTTTTTAACTCCCAAGTTATCAGAGAATATTGGATAAACTGATATAATTCATGAAAGCCTGACCCTGACTATCCCTATGTATTTTAAATGAATTCTAGTTTGGCTTTAGAACCAAAACAACCAATAGAATTTTGGGTATCTTACAGACGTGTACCCAGTATCTACAATATTAACCTTTAAATCCAGGAAAGAACATTTATGTAGAGAGAAAATCAGCCTAAATGGGTAAGGCCTTGGAGATACAAAAGTCATTAAACCATTCAACAGACAGTCAAGATTAATTAACTCTACAGTCAGTAAAAATGCTTTATAATTTTCTTCATGTTAAAAGTTCTAATAGTATAAAACTATTCTTTGTGAGTTTAAAGTAACTGAAAATAAAAAATGTAGAAGTGGTTCACACATTAACTTTTAGCATTCTTTCCCTGTCATTGCTTCTGTAGGCAAAGACAATGCTGTGTTTAATGATCAATTTTCAGGGTTGTGTGGACTAAACTTTTATACTTGGAACAACCTAGGATATTATTATAATTCTTTATAAATTGAGCCCTCCATAAAGCTATGACATCTCTGTACCAAATACACCCCCAGTTGTGAATCTGCTTCCAAGAATGGCAGTCAGAATTTGTAAGTGATGTGAGTCATCCTTGCCCATAGTGTTTTTTGGTCCAATTATTAAATAACTTTTTTTAAGCTGCATAATTTTGCATTGATTATGTAACCCACACACATATGCACAGTGTATATAAAACACACACGTGCATGCACAATGCCTCTAAAGCATGCGTGCACACGTGTGTGTGTGCGCGCACACACACACACACACACACACACACACACACACGCCAGAGCAGGAAGAAAATAGCTTTCCTTTTATTCATTGTTCCTGACCCTCACAGTGCTCCTGAGTTTGAGTGAACATTTCATTTCACTGTGAAATTTTATCAATTTGTTTTTTTTGTAGAAACCTGGAGCAGACCCTCCAGAGGAAGAGGAAGGCACGAAGAGAGTCGATCCCCTCCATCAGCTCATCCTTCTGTTTAGTCGAACAGCTTTAACGGAGAAATGGTATGGTTGGGACGGTTCGTGTGAGCATAGGAAGAACAGATAAAGAAACCCATGTCTCAGTATCCCGTGTGTCACATATTCATGTTTCAATTTCATCTGACTCTTGTTAGGAGAGAGAATTGTTCCAAGATAAGATCAGTCTGCCATACACCTGTGGGCCAACATTCATGCAAGTGCAGGCTTTGATGTCTACCTGTGAGCTCCAGTTTTTCCTAACAACTTAGTCATCAGCGGATTTACTTGATCCTGAATCTTATAAAATGAGTTTTTTCTTCATCGCAAATGGCCTTCATAAATAAAAAAAGGAACCCAAAGCAAATTCCAGTACACAAAAAAATGTGGGCACCCAAATTTCCTGGGTAGATTGTGCAGTGGGTCTTAAGAAACCTTAGAAGGTGGGTGAACCATCATCTCCACAGGAAGTTTCTTTGAGGTCTATTTTGAGGGCATTCTCCATTTTCCTTGGCTTTTGCAGCCTGGTTCATATGAATTCCCCAGAGCCACAAAGGCTGACCCTCTGTGTAGTTAAATAAGCTTTGCACTCAGATGCCCAGTAATCAAAATGGGCTCAGCGTCTGCTCCTCCTAGGGAGGACTACATAGATTCACTCTGTGGAGGAAACCTTGGAGAGGTTATAAAACATTTATCTGCATCCTTGCCATACAAAAGGAATCCTCCTTTGCCCAAGGCCTCCCTCTGGTTCGTGCAGAAGCTGGAAGATAATTTAATTATCAATCCTTTCCGCCCGAGTCTTTTCAGAGTCTAGATAAATTCATGTGACCTCTATGCATGCCATAATAATGCACATTTCTCCCCCTTAGCCAATGTGATCCATTCTTCTCTCACGATGTCTCTCTCTCTCTTATTATTTCCTAACTAACAAAATCATCTCATTCCTAAGCATAGAGCAACCCTCTGTCTGGCCTTGTCAGGTAATGAGGTATTTTCATAAGTGAATTTTTCTGATGGCTGAAGCTTTGAACTGCTGAAATAGCTTTGCAAATATTAGGTAATTTTTGATGGAAACCTTTCTTCATGAATTAATGATTTCCATACACTGTAAGAAAAGGATTAGTAAACATATTTCTTAATTTTTGAGAATCACTATGACCATTGTATTTTTGGGGCAATATAGTAGCATAAGAATTTGGGGAGTCTTTCCATCCAATGTCAAGTATCGCTTCTGCTGTCAAAGCCCCTACCTCATTTAAATTTGCTTGTTTCAGCTTCTGTAGTTTCAAGAAAATGAAAGCTATACATTGTGTGTAAGTCAATAGACCATTTATTTTGTGAGATTTAAAGGCCTCTTCTGGAAGGTAAGGCGAGACAGGGACAGCTGTGTAGGTCTGAGATCTTTGCTGATTCTACAATATTTCTGAATGATGACTTTGCCTAGGTTTTGTGTTTATTTCATTTTGAAAGGGCATACTGGTTGAAAACTAAAGGTTATTTTACCATGATGGTAGTTCTGCTCATGACAAGCCTCCCACTTAAAAACTCATGTGTTGTTCTTGTTTTTCATAGCAAACTGGAGGAAGATTTTTTATATATGGCTTATGCAGATATTATGGCAAAGGTAAATAAATCCATCTTGACTTTAATGTTTAACTTGAATAAAGAGAAATCACTTTCATCTGACATAAGGATAAAAATCTATGTATTTTGGGGTCTAGATAAAATACTGTTAAATCCTAGAAGCCTGAAGAGGCATTAATCTTAATTTTCCACTTGCTGAATGAATCTCTGTTCAAACTTCCTTGACAGGTAACCATTGTTTCCCTGTTCACATTTTATTTACGGGGAGCTAATTTTCCAAACATTCATTCATTCATTCATTCATTCATTCATTCATTCATTCAACAAATATTCACTGGGCATCAAGGTATTGTCGATGACATGGCCAATAAGAAGAAAATGCATACACCCTTCCTGGAGTTGACAGTCTGAGGGAGAGAAAACAAAATGCAAGCAAGTGATCGCAAAAAGCTGTGTCGAGTTCAGTGGTAGCAGAGCTGTTAGTGGCACAGGAGCTGGTTGCTGTACTAAGTTGGGCCTGCTTAGTCTAAGGTTTAAGGGAGTCCGTGACTGTCCAGTGACAAGTGGAGCATGTGAAAATAGTAACAGTATTTACTGAGTCTTTGTTTCATTTATATCTCACAATAGGAGGGTGAATGAAGGGGTGAATTAAAAGAGGAGTCAGGGTGTCTGTGAAGCTTCTCACGTGGGCAGTTGGGTAGATGGTGCTACCCGATACTGAGATGGGGAGCCCGGAAGAATTGCGGGCCTGGAGTGAAGAGGAAAGATGACCTATTACATTGTGGACTTGTTAGTTAAAAATGCCTGTGTACTGAGAACAAACTGAGGGTTGATGGGGGGTGGGAGGGAGGGGAAGGTGGGTGATGGGTATTGAGGAAGGCACCTTTTGGGATGAGCACTGGGTGTTGTATGGAAACCAATTTGACAATAAATTTCATATATTGAAAAAAAAAATGCCTGTGAGACAGCCACGTGGAGATGTCAGACATGTGATGAGGCATTTGTGCCTGACATTCAGTATATCAGGGATGGCTTATACATACAGATTTGGGATTTACCAGCATTCGAAGGGAATCGAGGTCATAGACATGGATGGTCTTGCCCAGAAGAGAAGGCGTCTCTTCCCCTCTGTAGAGGGGAAGGCCTGCGGCTGCGCCTCTAAAGACATGGGTTTATGTTTCTCCTTTTAGAAGAAAAGAAACCCGTTATAAAAAAGGCAGGTGGAGAATCTTAAGCATGAGCATATGTAGGAGCTGTGGACCTAAGGGAGTAATCAACAGGATCATATGCTGCTAGGAATAGGGATGAATAAGGTAAGAATTGAAACTTCTCTAGGATTTATTACATGGGCATCATGTTACCGTGGTGAGAACAGTTCCAGAAGATTATTGTGAGGGGCCATTGGTGGTGCTAGCACCATATTATGGGGAACTAAGGTAGAGAGAGAGAGAGAGAGAGAGAGAGAGAGAGAGAGTATGAACAGGGGAGGAGCAGCGTTAGGGAGACACGGAATCAGAAGCAAGCTCCAGGCTCTGAGCTGTCAGCACAGAGCTTGATGCGGGGCTCGAACTCACAAATGGTGCAATCGTGACCTGAGTTGAAGTTGGACACTTAACTGACTGAGCCACCCAAGAGCCCCTGACATTTGATGTATTTTTAATTCTTATAATTTTTTAAGTTATTTTGAGAGAGAGAGGGGGGAGGGGCAGAGAGAGAGGGAGAGAGAGACAGAATCCCAAGCAGGCTCTGCACTGACAGATGCAGGGATCAAACCCATAAACTGCGAGATCATGACCTGAGCCAAAATCAAGAGTTAGAGGCTTATTTGACTGAGCCATCCAGGCACCCCTAAATTTTATAATTTTTAACATACGTGATCATTTCTTTAATTAGAGTCAGACCATAGTCCAAAGCCAAAATATTTTTAAAGTTCAGCTCTATCATTCAGTGTTAAATAGCTCTTTGCAAGTATGCCAGCCACAAGCTTGTTAAATGTGGTTTCCCTGTGTTTATCTTAGTGGCTAGTTTTGATGATTCATATCAAACTGGCGTCTCTGGAGGTTGCCTTTCTTCATTTTGAAAATCCTCATCCCAGAAACTGAGGTAACCTCTGTGGAAAACAGTATGGAGGCCCCTCAAAAAATTAAAAATAAGGTACTATGATCCAGGAATTATGCTACTAGATATTTACCAAAAAAAAAAAAAAATGAAAATAGTAATTCAAAGGGACACATGCATCCTTATGTGTATATATAGCAGCATTATTTACAACAGTCAAAGTATGTAAGCAGCCCAAGTGTCCATCGATAGATGATTGGATAAAGAAGATGTGTTGTGTATACACAATGGAATATTGTTCGGCCATAAAAGACAGTGAAATCTTGCCATTTGCGACAACATGGATGAAGTTATAGACTATAATCCTAATTGAAATAAGTCAGACAAAGATAAATACCATATGATTTCACTCATATGTGGAATTTAAGAAACTAAACAAACAAAGGAAAAAAGAGACAGACAAACCAAGAAACAGACTCTTAACTATAGAAAACAAACTGATGGTTACCAGAGGGGAGGTGGGTGACAGGAATGGGTGAAATGGGTGATGGGGATTAAGGAGGGCACTTATCATGATGAAAAAAAATGGAATAAACAGATGACTATTAGTTCAGTCAGCATTATGAAGTACAAATGTAGAGTCACTTTACTCATAATCCCTCTGAAAATTGTGCATGTGCATGTAGGGAATAGTTCAAAGAGAAGACTATTTTTTTAAGTGCTGTGAATTTGCCTATTTTTTGCAGAAAGCAGTATATCTTTAGGCTTTGCTGTTATGGGCATTATGGTCATTACTCCTTTCTATTTTTAGCTAGGTGGTTAATAAAAGTATTTTTATTTTTAATTTTTTTAATATGAAATTTATTGTCAAATTGGTTTCCATACAACCCCCAGTGCTCATCCCAACAGGTGCCCTCCTCAATGCCCATCACTGACTTT